GAGTGAAAATTAAATTTAACAAATTAGGTATTTATTGAATTATTTGATTCTGCTGATTTTGTAACAGTTATATTCGTGCGATATAAACAAATTAATATTTTTTTTATGTGAGAAGGTGGCATGCGAGCGTACGGGTCACCTGATATTAAATGATAACCGCCGCCCATGCAACACCCGTAGGGTTCCAGATGCGTTGCCGCCTTTTAACAAAGTGGACCCCGGCTATCTCACTCACCAGACGAAATGCGGAAGTATAACGCTTTCACTTCACACTGGTCTTCTGTGGCGTCGTTTTACTTATCCGGATAGATCTGTCCATTCGAGCAATAGAGAGGACTGTTGCTAGGCAGTAATATATAAATACGACGTACTAATATAAATAGAGCCGTGATAGCTCAGTGTCCGGGCGCTCGCCTTTAATTCAATATACCTGAGTTCGATCCCCGGTGTCGGTACCAATAAAGTTTTTTACTTTAAGTGCTGACTTATCACGTGCTCCGCGGTGAAGGAAAACATCGTGAGGGAACCTGCATATTTTCGAAATAATAGGTAACAAAAAAAAATATGTTTCGAAAATATATGAAGTCCGCCAATCCGCAGTGGGGCCGCGTGGTGGACTATGCCCTGATACCCTCTGTATAGAGGTGGCCTTTGCCCAGCAGTGAGACATGTATAGGCTGTTACTTTAATTTTTTACTTTATTATTAAATAATATTTTTCTTGATTCGTCACGAGAATCTTTCACCCAGAAAAGTCGATTGAGGCCACGACGTACGACGTTATTGAAAAAATTGAGGGATTTGTATTAAGAGAAAAAGCAACTTATGCAGGGAGCATCAATCCATATAACCATTTAAGGATGTTACACGATTTACGTTTTTTTTTATGTAAGAGAGTGGCAAACGAGGTGGCGGTTCACCTGATGTTTAGTGACAATTGACGCCTATTGACATTTGCATCACTCGTAGGATTGAAGCCAGTGCTCTAAATAAGTGGTTGTTATTGTATTCCGGAGTGGAAAGAATACAGATATAGTAGAAAAGATATTAATGTTATTATAAAATTTTATGGTTACATGTATCTATTGAAATATATTCACTGACTAAATGGTCAATTAAAAAACCTCCTGATCATAAGAACAACAGCACACTACTTATATTAAATTCGATTAGATGTCTTAGTTGTTAGTAGTTAAGTTAACTATTATCTTATATTCCATCAATAATCGGTCAACTAAACTAACATGGGTTAAATCAAATTAACTTTTGCCTAACGTAACTAATTAGTTTGTTGCAAAATAACTCCCCCGGTGTGCATAATTATATGCTCAATATAAAGTCTCATAACGAATTCCCAACACATTATTTCACAAAACAGTGCCGTAACGTACATGCATCTTCATTATGCCAATTAAAGTTTTCTATAGTTATATTAGTTGTTGTTTTAGATTAATGTTTCTAAATAAAAAAGAATTTTAATACCTATTATAAATAACATTTATTAGAGATTTTAACATAAGCATTTATGACGATTGGGACTAGTAATGTTTTGTTCCTTTATACCAAATTTTATTATTGCCTTTTCATCGTTACATAAATGTTAAACTTTTAAGACCATAGAAATCTTAGTCAGCGATTGGTACATATGCTTATCGCACATACAAGAAAACTTCGTTCTCTCGTACGGTGCGGACGTCTACCGGAACGGATCGCTTATGCTTTATACACCACTAGCCCAAGCTGAACTCTGGTACAATTTCATATTTGTTATTGTATTCCTGTTTTGTAAATAGAATATCTATAGCTTGTTGTCACGACGGAGGCAGCTATTGTTTTTATTTAACTGTGTGTTTGTTTCATCAGGCGACACATTTTTGTTTATTTATTTATTGAATTTTAATTGTCAACCTTCAGTAAAACAAGGTAACAAAGGGCGGACTTAATGCCCTAAGGTATTTTGTACCACTCAACCCAGAATATGGTGAGAGTTTATGGTAGGTACATCAAAAATGCAAGAATAAAAAAAAAAAACAATGAGAATAAATAAGTAAATAAAAGTAACAAATATATAGTAAATAATATTTATTAATATATAAAATTATATAAAATAATATAAATGTATATGTAATATATATTTATATACAGGGTGGCTTTTCTAAAGGTGCCCAAATTCACACAGGAGGTTCAGACTCGTTAGTATAATAGTTTATTGAAATAAAAAAAAAAAAACTTAATTTTTTCAATAAAATTGCCATTCTATTCCCTAAAAACAGAACTTGTTGACAATGCGGTAGTCATTTATAAATGCGTCATATATTTTTGAAACGAATGTTAGTTATGAATGATCGCGCGTAAAATAATGAGTTGCCCATAAATCACGCACTTTTAAGATAACTTAAAATTAATGTAATAAATTAATTACAACTGATTTTAAAAATTTATTATTTTTTATTTACATTATTTATGTCTAGAATAAAATTATTGTTATATTTTTTTATCTGTTTACTGGCGAGAATTTTGAAGCTTCTTCAATTACCTAAGGAAAATCATAGATAAGACATATATACTGAATGGGGAAAATGTACGAGCGCAAAATTTTTAACTGGTTGAAAGACAATGTTAACTACAAGGACCTAATTCCTCCGGGCGGGTTCGTTTTCAACCGACTCACGAACGGAACTTTCGCTTGGCGCACATCCTTAAAGACCTCAATCACCCAAAGCATGTAAGTACTGCTACACTCCTCTTCGAAGTTGCATGGGCATTCGACAAGATCTTCCATAACGGTTTGCTCTACAAGCAATTTACATTCAATAAGCCAGACGAGCTTGTGCACACCATTCGAGCCGTTCTCTTGAATAGCTCTGTCCGATACTGAGTTAGGTGTTTACTATACGAGCCCCTCCCACATGGATGGGGTTCTTCAAGGCTAAGGTGACACCTTATTTAAAAGTTCGTAATGCATGGCAACTGCAAGCCCTCAGGTGTTGTAGATAATCCACGAGAGTGGGATTTTAAATCAGGTGAGCACCTTGCTCATGTGACAATTTTTCAAATTCAAAAAATAAAGATAAAAAGGCACAAACTTTTTTATTTGATATCAATGATAGTTTTTCCGATTGTAACATTTTAGCACCTGTCCAAGTTGTCAATGACACCTGTCAAAATATTCAGGTTTGTCGTTTTACCCAAAAAACGTAAACGTAGTGATTACATTCTCTATGGTTTTACCATGCATAGTTTCACGCTTGCCTTGCGTGTGAAAGTTATTAAAAATATTATAGAAGTTCCAGTGTATAATTGTGTAATTCCAGTAAGCAACGTAAATAAGGGTTAAGACTGAGTACAGAGGCTATAAGGTCATAATCCAGCACTCTACCCCGGAGCGGATGGGGAAACTTATGGGACTTTTTTTCTTATAATTATTCCTTAAATATGCAGTTGTCGTCAGATTGTTCATCGGGATTTGAGCTTACGTAGGAGCGAACGATATGAACTAGCATGGCCCACATTACAAGTACAAAAGAGTGTAAAAACAGACTACCAATAAGAGAAGGAAGCAAGCAGGTTAAGATTCATTGAGTTGAAATAACAATACATTATTAGTAACAGAGTAAAACAGGGAGTTATTTAGTGCGCATACAGTACTCAAAATAATATTATCTTTAAAATGATATCATGAATATATTATTTCTTATGTAGTTATGTCCCGTTTATTTTTAAGGTAAGAAATCGCAATATAATTTCATAAAAATCCTAAACACGAAGTTATTACGTCAAGGAAAGAAATTTCATTAGAAGCTCTGTTTTCCTTGCTTTTAAAAATGTAAGTTGAATTATTTCGTGAAAATGTTCAAAAGAGAATATTTAAATAACTTTCTCTATTATTAGCAAATTTGAAAATCACTTTCTGTGAACAAAAATAAATGATTATAGAAATTTATATAATATAAAATGAGATCGGGGCTGTGACATCGATATGTCATGTATTTAAGTTTTGGGATACAGGCACACCAGAGTTTTGATATTGGAGTTTTCGTATTGTTTATATTTAAACAATTTCCTTGTAATTATATACATAGATATTAATACGTGAAGCTCAAACATATGCATAAAAACACATTAAATAAATAAATAAAAAAAAACATTACACACACTACCATGTTTAATTATGGTCGATTTCGACCACGGGGCTGTTACTAGTATACATAGATATTTGAATAGAGTTCTTGAATGAAGAGAAAAACAATACATATTAAAATACATCGCAATCGATAAATAAGTTAGCTATTACGTTTCCTTCCGATTTAATTTACAAACATGCAGGTTTTTTAATTTAATTTTTTATTTATATGTTATAAACATCTACAATCAATCGTACGAATTTTGATATCATAATTATTATTCTTTCAATGATTGTTCCTTTTGTTAGATAAATTATTTAATATTTTAATGTTAAGGAGATTTAAGCATACTTATATTAGCCGCTAAAGAGACTGTCAGATTAAAAAATTAAATATTACTAACTACTGCCTACTACTATTATTACTAACTAGCAATTAAATATTACTAATCGGACAGACGTTGTCCTGTACACACGACTTAAATTCGACAACTTGGAGTTGAAAAAAAAAAAAAGAAAATTGTAGTGGACCGAATCGTGAATCTAAACCATTCTCAAATTGACTTGAAGACAGACAAAAAATTTCATTAAAATTGGTCCAGTCGTTTAGGATGAGTTCAATGGCATACACACGTACGAATTATGTATAAAGATTAAATGCGTTACGTGTTCGTATCGCATTTAACAGTATTCTTTTACCGTATTAAATAAAATGTCCGATAATATATTGGCATTTATTGCATTCAAATTATATTTTGTAACACATTCTACATACAACTAGTTAATTCCTTATAAATAGTACAATAAAAGTTAATATATAGTTTAAGGTCTACACACTTTTGTTTCCATATATTATGTTTAGTACTCTGTAATATTTAATCACTTAAATATACAGTGTAGAGGAGAGTGAAGTAAGAATAGGAGCTTGTAAGAATCTGAAAATAACAAAAAAAGAAATAGATTTGGTTTATGTATTTTAATGCAACCAAGAGTTACTAATGGATCATGTAAACAGTCTCAAATGGTTCTTACCGAGGTATATGTAGTCATCGTTATACAACTAAATTTCAGCGCCGTAAAATAAAGAGGCTTTTGAGACCTGAAAAATAGTAGCAAAAATTAATTCACACTTAAAAAAAAACAGAGAGGAATCCATAAAATTAACAAATTTTTCTTGTTTATTATGAACACTTCGTTATATTATAAATGACCAATACGATCAAAACATGTAACTATTATGTGGGATGATCAAACTATTACTTAATTTATAAACTATCATAACAATATCCACATACTCAAAATCCAGTACTTTCTTTTTTTGTTATCTTTAAGGTACACGTTTTTTTAATTAGTTATTAACCTGCATAACGCTGCTCATATTTCTCAACATATGCTCAACAAATAGAAGTAAAAAATAACAGAATTTATGTAGGTCTGTTGCTCACAAGACTAGATATTTGATAGCTGCTGTATTTAGCATTAGTTCAGACTAACATTTTATCGAGATTGTGGCAGTTATAAAGGCCTCGGGTAATGAATCTTGCCTACATTTATCGAGAGAAATCAACTTTGTACTAAGTATAATCACGAGTAAAAATATCAATTGAAACGAATCATGTTTGGCACTTTTTTATTCGTAACAAGTCATTTTTTATTAACGAAAAAAAAACGAGTTCAAATATCTCCCTCTGTATTCATTTTATAATTGATTTTCAGGACTTCCACACGTATCTCCGGAGCTCAAGATTATGATTAATATGGGATCACATGGGAAGCACTAGCTTTCAAAACAAAAAAAGAATCATCAATATCTGTTCACTCAGTCGCAAGTTCTGAGGTAAGAGACATAAAAAAAACAATCGAATCGAGAACGTCCTCCGTTTCAGGAGTCGGTTGATGGTATATAATATAAAAAACTTGCTATGATACGTTAATACTGAAGTTTACTTCAAATACAAAACAAGAAAACCATAAAATAAGAATACGATACCTTTGAATTAAAATAAGCAATGCTCGTTGACAGCGCGTGTTACATGTGTACCAGGCACTTTCATAAACAGCATTTCCTACACCTGAGCTCTAAAAAAATAAACTTGTGTAAATAATCCTGTGTTTGTTTATGCTGATGTTATAAAGCATTTTGCACAAAATTCAAAACGATAATTTTTCTACGCTGGCGCATTTATAAATTTTTCACGCTTACACGTAATGTTTTATGATTTCATCCGATAATTTACTTAATTCTCTTTGATTATATAAACTAAATAAATGAAATCAATTTTTTCATTAGTTATCATTATTTTGTCCGTCTAAAACTTCGTATTAAACTGCCTTGCATTATATTTTTGTGTAGTTAATTACGCACATATACAAAATATTGCCGCCTTTTACCTAAACTCGAGAGTCCAAATTTTGAGATATTGCTCTTAACAAAATTTCAAAGCTATTGTAAAAATTTGTATTTTATGCTATAAAAATTGAGAAGTGTCAAGGGACACCCGGATGGAACGAAGATACTTTCGATTAATTAGTGAAGGAATTGTAATAATTTTTTTTTAAGTTATAATAATATTTTTTTATTATTAACAAATATAACGTAATATAAACTTAATCAGTAGGCTCAATACTAATAATAATAATTCAATACTAATACTAATAATTCAATTAATAAAAAAGTGTCGTTACAACTTTTCGTGAGAATTTTTTCCGTCTAACCCCCTTTCACAACGCGCGATAAGGAACTTCGTTCCAAAAAGCCTTTGATAAAAATAGACCGATGTCAAACATTAATACGCACCGAAGTATAAATTTCATCAGCATACCAACAAAGTATTCCAACCTGAGTCAATGCAGCACCCAAAAAGAACTTGTTACTTAGTGCCATCCAGGGGTCTAAAAGCTAATATTTACAAAGTTTTGGCTTGTATGCATAATAAGTAATATTGATGAAGAAACTTTTGTAAATCTGATTATAAAGGTGAACTTACTATGTTAAATACGACGCAGCAAATGTCTACTGAGCTTAGGAGCACGTTGATGAGATTAACTATCGTAAAGGCATTTTCCAGATCACTGCCATATCTGAAAACGAGTATTATTTTGTATTACTAATTGATGCCTTATGTATACTAGAGTAATGTATACTAAATAATAAATAACTATGAAGCTGAAGTCATTCTATCAAGTCAAGTACATTTTTCAATTTATTTTGATTTATTGGGAAAATCAATACTTGACTAACACGGTTATTAGTAAAAAAATTAGAATATAAATAATACTAAACTTACTTGATAAGCCGCTGATGAGTTTTTATAACTGATATAATTTCCTCATAACAATCTTTAAAATGTAATTTGGAGTTATTGCTGGTGCTCTCTGTTGAACCCAAGCGACGAATTCTCAATTGCAATAAACGCAACAGCATACTGACATGACTTGCCATGGTCATAAATAGCATATCAGATCCAAGCATAGAGCATACGGATATTAAGCCTGAAAATTTATCCTCTGGTTATATTTATGTTCGGTATTCATTTAGATAAATTTAAAATTGATCATTACCTCCACATGCTTCAAAGATAAAAACAAACTCACGACATATAGGTTTATTTTTATCAAAAGGGTAAGACAGGTGCCAAATAAATCCCAATCGTGATGGTACACCTTGTAAGAAATGATAGATGTATACAACAAGCGGTGTTATGTTATACAACCAAACACCTAGTATGTTCCAAAACGCATACCCTGAAATAAATAATAACTTCTTAGTACCAGTATTATAAAAACAGAATGAGAATGGACTGTCATAGTTATTAATAAGAAAAATTTCTTGACGCGTGCCATAACTATTTAACGTTTTACGTTTTTATTGATGGTGAGATATAGATATATTTGAATATAGTCTTTTTAGATTTCTCATTATAAATGTCCATAACATGATATAGAGACTTAATATAGACTCTTCGGTGGTAGGGCCACGCAGCAGCCTCGGCTGTTGCACGAATGGGCAGGCTCGTCCGGGTAAATACCAAGACCTCACAGAAGACCGGCGTACAGTGGAGGTATAATACTTTCGCGTTTCGTCTGGTGAGTGAGGTGGCCGGAGCCCAATTTTCATGAGGTTGTCAACGCATCTGGAACCCAAGGGTGTAACAGATGTCCATGGGCGGCGGTATTCACTTAACATCAGGTGAACCGTCTGCTCGCTTGGCAAATTTTCACATAAAAAATATTTGCGAAATTTCACCGAACCCCTATCAGATAGTGTAATACTCTTGGCCAATAATTTGTTGAGATGTATAAATGGCCAGTTCATTATTTAAAACATTTTTTACATTTAAACATGTAGTTAGTTCTTTCGTATACTTTATACCACAAAAATTACTTACAAAATTGTCCAATTCGTAAAGAAGATACCCGTTTTTCCTTAATTCTAATTTCTTCGTTATCTTCAACGGATACTGGCCATATATCGGCAAGCTCGTTCACTAGTTGTCTAAATTCGTTTCTTTTATACCAAATAGTCAACATTTTCCCAAAACCTGTAAATTGAAATTGATAATCAAATATGTTATGGCTTAAAGTTCGTTAATAGTTGTATAATTTTAATATTTACTCATTGTGTCATAACCAACAATGTGCATGCTAGCTACGAACTCGACAACCGAGGTTGATTTGACCAACTGGGTAATGACATAGTTGATTTCTCCAGCTAACATCAAAAATAAAATAAACGTAGATATGAAATACCATACGTTAGCTTTAAACCGACCAAACATAGTGTTTGGCAAGTTGTCTATAAAAGAAAAACCAATTTTTCGAGTGCAAAAATTGCATAACTTTAGTGTGGCGTGTATTTCTGACGTAGCAGTCTCTTTACTAATTTCAGACATTCTATTCTTACAAATAATACGATAATGGTGATAAATACCAATGGTGATATCCTTATATATTTCTTTGGATCTTGTTTATTTATAAATTACTACTTAACTAAGGAATATGTAAGTTATACTTTTACAACAGTTAACGAATGGGTTGCTGCGAAACTTTATCATGACTTTCTTCATTTTTAATAAACCTACTCACTTTGTTACAGAATGTATGTAATTTTTATACATTTATTTCATTGTACTTATCTACAATGTTATAAATAATATAGGAGTGTTCCTTACTACTTAAATTAAAACATAAAATATTTAATTTCACCCTAGAAGTCAAATGGTAAATGCTTTTATTAGGGATATTACAGGACGAGACATTAATAATACCGTATCATTGTTACTTCCTTTTGCTTCACAAAAGACACTCCACTCTTCCAGCCTGATAGTTTTGAGAAATATCTTAAAGAAAAACATCGTATTAGGATAAGTTTTTTAAAATCTGTTAGGCAAGCTTGAACTAAATCTATATATTGACTGTGAAAGTGGCTTATCCCATAAAGCAAATTAAATATCTACTAAATACCATATTAAAATTAGTTATAGATAGAGAAGCAAACACAAGGAGACGAAAAGTACTGAAGGTTGAAAAAGTATTTAATTTGAGATCACATTACAGGCAACCGAAATCATTAGAATTTGACAAAATAGAAATCGCAATGAAATTATATTGAATCCCCAGTCAACAGTAAAGTGAGGTCATAAAAATAAAGAAACATTTCAAGGGAGCAGTGGATAGATGCTACTATTGCTAGCAAAGTGCAGGTTATATATTTAATGTTTTAATTTTGATACCTGCACCATTCAATTGATATTTAAACCTTAAAAAAATATTAAGAAAATTATACCTGCATCACATTTAAAGATTAAGAATGAGAATTATTTTTAAACTGAGATTAGCCTTAAATAATATCCTAACGAATTATGATAATCGTGCTGAACAAAACCGACGTGAAGCCGATAATGAAGAAATTGGAACGTGATTTCACAAAATCTGCTCTGATTGACTCACTAACGATTTCGCATTAAGGAAGCGTTCAATCAAACGTTGACAGAGCTTGATTAATAGATTCATTTGAATTTCAATTTAGTATAAAGAAGAATTTTTGATAAGGCCTATTTCTTTGAAAATAATAATTATTAAACATATTTGCAAAATTTCCAGCGCGCTTTACCAGCCTTCCTATCTTCTGTCCATAGTTCAGCAAATGTCATAAGTAAAATTTTAAGGGCATCCCCTATAAACTTTGTGATTGCAGGCCTGAAAGAAGCTAGAAAGGCTTTCTTAATTGTATGCCCAAGTCAAAATTTTCCAAATTCACAGAGGAGCTGGGACGACATAAACTGCAAATTGACTTATGACAATCTTTTGAGCTGTAGCACAGGTTCGGCGCGTGCTAGGCTTTTGGCCGTGGGTGCGCATGAGGCTGTCTACTGGCATCACGCGTACCCTTCGTTAAATACAGGAACATTTCTTGAGCCTGACACGCTTCGAATCGCAACCTGTCTACGGCTTTGGGTTTCGGTCTGCGCTCCTCATAAATGTCCCTGTGGCAGTGATGTCGACAAGCTAGGACATCCTGGACTGTCATGCCAAAAAAGTGCAGGCCGCTTCTCGAGACATGCCGCACTTAACGATGTCATAGGCCGGTCCTCTTGCCACCGTTAACGTGCCAAGTCTACTTGAGCCGACTGGTATTGCAGGAGACGATGGCAAGAGACCGGACGGTATGAGTTTAATTCTATGGAAGATGGGCCGGGTCGTATGGGATACAACCTGTTCAGACACGCTGGCCCCTTCCCATCTACATGGAAACAGCAACAGAGCTGGTGCGGCTTGTGAAGCGGCTGAAAAGGCTAAAGCCTGCAAATACAGGGGTCTAGGCTCCGAATATGATTTTGTCCCATTCGGTGTCGAGACCCTTGGTCCGTGGGGCCTAGCGCTATAAGGCTTTTTAAGGAAATAGCAAAAAGGTTAGGCGACATCACAGGAGACCGAAGAAGTGGCAGCTACCTCTGAAAAAGAATTAGTCTAGTTATCCAAAGGGGGAACGCTGCCAGTTTAAGTTTGCTTATAGTCAATAGTTCAGCGGAAATACATATAAACGTGTTAGTGATAGCGGTGAAAAGGGAAATATATTATATATTTCCCTTATCTGAATATCCCTTTGGGTGATGATATATTATTTACACATGTAAATCATCAAAGTTTCAGTGATAGTAAGTATCAATAGTAGGGTCCCCTACTATTGATACTTACTATCTGATATACTACTGATATTAAGTAGAATGACAACTTTCTAATACGAATAGAGTTTACAAAAAGTGAAATCAAAGCTATCGAATAGGTTTGGAGCTCTACATCAAAAGAGTGGAATAAATTACGCAGATACAATATGAGTCTTCAATACAAGAGGCGTTGCTAAGTTAATACCTCCTTTTTTCCCCGTGGGAATAATCCTTTATGGATGTAGGATATTAATTAGTTGAATGAATTTGGTGATGAGTCATAATTATTTTAACGAATACACAAAGTTTTGAAAAGTACTCTCATAAAATACCCATTGTTTGAATAGAAAAAATGTTACAAATATTGATTGGAAATTTTGTTGTTTTTATAAACCAAATACTTTTATTGTATTGTCGATTCTACAAGGTGTTTGGTGAACCATTAAAATAATAAATTATATTTTGTTTAGCATAGTTTTCGAGAATACCTGATAATTTATTTTTTGAGACTTAAGTAAAATAAACTTTTCACATGCTTAAAAATGAATGTAACAACAATTTAAAAAAAGTTTAAGTAAAACCCATGTTTTTCATGTTAGTTCACATACTAACTCGAGTCCGCCGCTTAAATTCACGAAACTCAATTTACGATGACCTAAGATTTAGTTGCAAAAAGCTTTTTTGAATCTAATGTCTTATTCTATTCAATTTTCAGTCCTTCCACTTGATTTCACTTTTAAAAGTTAGTCCTAACTTTACATTTGATTGCGATCAAATTTAACGGTTCACGATTGTTCTGCTCGAGTACCTCTATGGTAACGTGGTAAATACGATGTTCTTGAAATCAAGAGATTCACCGACTTGATTGAACTTGACCGAACCCGTATTATAATAGTATGTGAACAAGTTATCATATATATTTCTCATTTTTTTAATTTGTTATTTCTCAATACATAAACGAGTAACCATTTTTTTTAAATACGGAACTCGCGTTTCTTAAGGTTTACCTTATTAGGTATTAAAAATTATTTATTCCGTTGCTCCGTTGTTTTAAAACATACAAATGAGTACCATTATAAGCAATATGTATCCTCGACGTGACAACAAAAGTTACGCTGATTACGGCGTATTCAATTCAGTTCGAACAGTTAGTAAAACAGATGTTTTACTAGCTGTTCTAATATGTAACTATAAGTAAAACAGAACTACAAAAAATAAGAATGGATCAGAGATACACTTTATTATTCAATCAATTAAG